ACTTTAGAGAAAAAAAGTCGCGGGTCAGGTAGGGACAAGACAAAAAAGGTTGAAAAAGCAAAAACGAAAAAAAAAAAAAAAAAAAAAAAAAAGGGCAACAGTAAGACAAAAAGGCAGGATTTCTTCGTGGATACTACAGAGCGGTCATTGTGTGTTCTTTTTGTTTTCATTTCTCGGTTTCTTTTTGAACCGCTCTTCTGTGTCTTCTGCTGACAAACCAGCTGCAGTGATTCATTCTCACTATTCTTATTTTTGTAATATTTTTGGAGACTTTCATTCTAATGTGCAGTGACGAACAAAGGACTCATTTCGTCCATTGCTTTGTGTCCGCTGACCTATTAGGCCGTCTAATCACCGCTCCCCAAATCTGCAACACTGTCGACCCTGAACCTGGCCAATACGATCGACATTGCTCAAAGCTGCCGCCGACCAGTGTACACGCGTCTTCTTCTTAATCTAATCTCAGCCGGCGAGCGCTCTGTCTGTCTCTCTCTCTCTCTCTCTCTCTCTCTCTCTCTCTCTGGGGCGAAAGTGAGAGAGAGGTGGGGCGAACGAGAGAAGCGCGCGAGCGAAGGAGCGCCCGCGAGAGAGAGAGAGAGAGAGAGAGAGAGAGAGAGAGAGAGAGAGAGAGAGAGAGAGAGAGAGAGAGAGAGCGCTGACCTTGAAGTCTTCGTCTTAGGTGAGGTGATGTAGAGTCCGGCGAAACAAAATGCGACGATACTGGCCTGTTTGAGGAACTGACACGTCCCTATTCCTTGGTTTTGGCTTTCCCCTGTTTCCCTGAATCCGTACACAATTACTATACTTTGAAATGAGAGACCATTACAGTGACCAAAGCTCGCAAAACAACCTCGTTCGAAAATTTAGGACACCTTTTTGTTTTTTTTAACACCTTTTTGTAAAACCTCTGTCAAATGAAGCCTACTAAATTCATTCACCTTGAAAAAAAAAAGAGGGTACTTACTGAAACCCTTGCCAAAAAAAAGAAGACGGCCTGAATTTCGTCCTCGGAATCCGATGGGGAGGGTAGATTCCATCCCCGCAACACGAAGATTCTGCACGTGGTTAAAAAAAAAAAAAAAAGGAAACTGCACCTGGTCGTCAAATGGTCCAGACGGTGAAGTCGCACTAGCCGGGGTTTAGACTTGCTTTACCATCTGGGGCAAAGTCCCACTTGTACTGATTCTTCATTTGTGACCGTTGATCTTCGTAGTCTAAGGTCAGAAGATGAGAATTCGGGCAAGTGAGACTCGGGCCCAGGTTTTGGCAAGTGAAACGTGTGCGAGTTGGGCCCAATCTGAGAACCTCGCACTCCAGTATGGGCACTTTCTCTCTGCCTATTCACGCAATAAGTGTTTGCACTTGCGTATGGTGTTGCTTTACTACTGAGCTTCTGAAACTACATGGGTTTTCTGAAGAGATGCACAAAAGCAGTTCAATAGGCGTTTTCTGGACCCCTCCAGGGCGTCCACAAACATTTCCAGACTCAGCCATTGAATCTAATCCTGTTGGCTGGTAGTTGGACCTTTTCCCTGGAGTACGTCCGTACTAGCGGAACGGCAATAGACCCCCCCCTCTCTCTCCCCTCTCCTCTCCCTTTTCTTTTCCATCCTTTTTTTAAAGGGGTAACTTCGGCGCAGTCACGAAAAGAGTTTGTAATTGCACTTCAGGCAATCCCGCGAATACAACACACCCCCTCGCGACCCCACCGGACCCGAAACGTAGGTCGTATGCATTCAGCATTAACAGCCCTTTTGCCTCAAGTGCAATTACAAACTCAAACCCTGACTGTGCCGTAGTTTCCTCTTTTTTAAAACAAACGCGACGGGACTGAGATATTATCATTGGACTGACCGGCCCCAGGTAATTGAGAATTTGAGAATGCTTTTGTTCTGTTCATGTCAGCTGCACCTGAATTCGAGCTGCAGTCTGGATTTGAGATATCATCATTGGACTGACTGGCCCCAGACTTTTATAGTCTGGATTTCAACAGTTGATGGCTGAGGCTGCCAGGATAACTCCGGTTTTGAATTGTGAGGACCCCGGCGTCGCCCCTTGTTTTTCAATACAGTTAGCTTTCCCAAAAAAAAAAAAAAAAAGGGATAACGGCTCCTGGGTCACACTTTAACTTCAAAAAGGCAAAAAAAACACTTAATGGTAACATCCTCTTCCTCCAAGTTCAAAACGGCAAAAAAAACACTTAGGGTCTTGTTAGACACTCCTAAAAATGCCTGTTTTTAGGATTGCATCGTCGTTGCACGCGATCCTAAATCCGATTTCGAGATAGAAAATGTGAAAACGGCGTTAGGACGAATCCTAAAGAATTTAGGACTCCCCAGGCAAATTCGTCCTAAATTTTTCAGTAGCCCCAGACCAACTGAAATTTTTAGGATTTCCGCGTTTGACGGAGTCGTGTCTTGGACTTCTGGTGCACCCTGTAGGCTGAAACCCTGAAGCATGACTTTTTTCTTTTATTTTTTTTCTTTTTAATTACGATTTTCTTTTAGGACTGGTCCTAAACGATGGTCTTTTAGGAATGCGTGTAACCACGACGCACGAAATCCTAAAAAACCTTTAGGACTGTCCTAAAAATTTTACGATTCTTTTAGGAGTGTCTAACGAGACCCTTAATGGCAACATCCTCGTCGTCCAAGTTCAAATCCGCAAAGGAAACATTATTTTTTTATTTATTTTTTAATCAAACAACGATTTTTTTTGATTTTTTTTTGGGCGTGCTGCGGCTGCGAGGTTTTTTTTTTTTTTTTTTTTTTTTTTTTTTTTTTTTTTTAATTCTGTCGTGGAACCCCAAAAAAAAAAAGGTGTTTGGGCCCCATAGCTGGGCCACGGCCGAGATGCCTCGGCCACACCCCAGATTGGCCACGGCCGAGATGTCTCGGCCACACCCCACATTGGCCATGGCCCAGATATATCAGCCAAACCCCGGCGTGGCCCGACCATGGTTTGTTTGTTTGTTTGTTTGTTTTTTCGTTCCAGCTGCCGCGCGGCGCGACCATACGACGGATTAAAAAAAAAAAAAAAAAGACAAAAGTCCCTGTTTCGAACAGGCACCATGTGTATAACGTGGGTCACTGTTATTATTGCCGTTTTGAACTACCGTCGGGACGGACCTGCGGACGACTGTTTTTCTTGCCCATTCAAAACATGGGTTGTGACCCACGAGCCGTTGCCCCCCAAAAAAAACAGTTGATGGGTATACCAACTGAGCTAGGGCCCTTGGTAGGACCTGCAATGCCACCAAACTGTTTTTCTTGCCCATTCAAGGCGTATTTTTCCAAAACAGAAAAAAAATCCGATCACATGAAGATTATCAGGTAATATGTATGTCCGGTGCTGTAGCTGTCATAAGAGGCTTGAGGGCATACTCTCACTGCGACCCTAAACTACGAAGTATGCGTACGAAGTATGCGGATTTGGGAAAGCGCGATTCGTGGTTTTAGGCACGCCAGTGGCCACACTGCTATACAATTACTAATAGGACAAGGGTCGCGGCCTTGTGGAGACCCTTGTCGAGAAATGGGGATTTGGTGCTTCGCTGGTATGGTCACACAGCACCACGTCTAAACTGTGCAATTTATTTTTTTTTGGCCATTATTTTTTCATTTGCCTTCTTCACGTCTTCACGCCTGTATGGCTGAATCTTGCAAGAACTTTTGTGAACGAATTTTGGGCAATTTTCAAGCAAATTCGGAGAAATAAATAACCAATGGTGGTCACCTCCGGAGGTGACCGCAAAATCCCATGGCCTGTGGTTTCCCAGGCCGCTGACAAATGGGCACAGGAATAAATTATGCAACTGGGGATTTGGGAAGTATATGTGACCCACTGTGGACGTTTTGTTTTTGTGATTTTGGGAATATGGGTCGCAGTGTGAGTATAGCCTCAGCTTTTCGAGGCACCGAAACACAGCAGTACAATTTTTTATTTATTTATTTCGAGTACTCTTTTCTTGCTTACCGGTACCTCTACAGTTCCTGATTATGAATTTTGTGCAGCTCTTCAAAACGAAAAACATTTACAAAAGGAGGGAGAAAAAAACAAAAAAGAACCCTACCAACGGGCCTAGCTTATGGCATACTCACACCCGGACTATTTCCACACTGCTCTATACGTGATTGCAGTCAGATTCATATATGAATATATACATGAATACATATTATATATATATATATATAGAGAGAGAGAGAGAGAGAGAAAGAGAGAGAGAGAGAGAGAGAGAGAGAGAGAGAGAGAGAGAGAGAGAGAGAGAGAGAGGGAAAAGAGAAGGGATGGGGGAGGATAGAGGGTGGGTTTTAGTGTCGTTCCCGTTCTGACGCCTGGTATTTTCTTCTATTTTATTTTATTTATTTATTTATGTATTTTATTTGTATTTATTCGCATTTGCTAGTATCTTAGTTCATTCTGAGATCGGCCAGTTTTTCAGTCCTGAGTATCGGCCTTTCCCGTTTTCTACCGACGGGATACCRGGTCTGACTGGTTTTCCGCTGGCAGAAATCTAGCCAGCAGGGGAGGAGTCAGAACGGACTTCSCSATAGACCRATGYTTTTTAGATTTAGTKTGTAGTATTCGCAGAATTTTGATGACGGGCCACGGGCCGAGACTACTTAACTAACAGATTCGATGAGGCCAGTCCTTTGGGTTTTGCGGTTCGAGGGAACCCCCCCTGACGATGATCGGTTGGCGACCGATCGAAACGCGGCGTAGGGGGAAGCCACGGACAGAGAGGTGGAGGCTGGCACTGAGATGTCATGCCTGTAGGATTTCCATCGCTAGGAGATGGTGGGGAGGTTGCGAGTGAGACTGAGTTTATTGTACATTTTACCAACTCATTTGCTCTCCTTGTTTTCTCGTGGATGTATGGAGGTGATGCATGCATGTGACCACGCAAGTGGCTGACGACGATCCACGCAAGAGGATTGAAGCGATAACTGACAGGGTAGGACACCCAGGACGGTGGTCGCTACGTAACTGAGGGATGGGGTGCTACACGTGTGGCCAGGAGGGCCACTTCGCGAGGGACTGTCCACAAAGGGCGGGAATGACGGGGAATAATAGTAATAATAATATTAATAATAATAATAATCATGGCGGTAACAGCAATGGATACTATAGACCAAGTGGCCTATCCTGGCAGCAGAAGAAGGATTTTGAAGACATCGGGTGGATGAGAGAGCTCTGCTCGGATCTGGCAAGGGAGAGAAAGGAGAAGGAAGAGCGAGAGAAGGAACAGGAACGTTTGAAGGAGGAAGCGGAGAGACGTAGAAGGGAAGAGGAGCTCCATCTTCAGCATAAGAACGAGATTGAGAGGCATGCGGAGATCCGCGACGCACGCCTCATGTCTGCCATGACGTCCCAGTTGAAGTCTCTGCACGACAAGCTCGTGGGACAGATGGATGAAGTGCGATCCAAAGTGAAGTCCGGAGACAAGCAACGTGAGGACATCGGAAGGATGCGGGAGGAGGTGCTCGAACTTGAGCGGGAGATGGCTAAGGAAGACCCCGACAAGGAGAGAGATGAACTCAAGAAGAAGCTGACGGAGCTTCGAAAACTCAAGGAAGAACGTGATCTGGCTCGGCAAAAGAGGAGGATAATGGAAGAAGAGATGAGGTGGGAGATGGAACAGACACGGCAGGAGTTAGAGTTCGAAGAGGATCTGTGTGCACCATCTTCGTCTACAAGGCCTCCTAGGAAGCGAAGAATTGAGACTCCGGTTACTCCTTCTTGACCTCGCCGCGCTAAGCATCCGCACTCGGGAATTCGCATTGAGGAACCGTCTACTCCAAGAACGCCGGTGACTCGCTCAAGGACCAAGGAGAACCAGATTGTTGACAGCGAGGCGTTGATCGAAGGCTGGAGAGACATCACGAGGAAGGACGCGAAGACGAATGTCGTGGACCTGTGCATGGGCATGCGAGGGTACCTTCGAACCAGATCTATGAGCGAACTGCAGTGCCTCTGCGACGAGGAGAGCATTACCTACGTAACGCGGGAGAAAGCTACTAAGGCTCTTATCTCCAATAAAATGCAGGAGGCCATGTTTAAAAGGGCCTTTACCCGATATAGGCCTCAGGCCTTGTAAAAATAAAGCAGCACGGGCCTTGAAAAAGTAAAGCATTGTGAAAAGGTATCTCGTCAGAGCTCAGAAACGTGAAAGCAGGTCAAAGGTCAAGTTCTCTATCAACAGGCATATTTAAAATTAAGGCAAAGGGCATTGTCAAAAGACTTACCTGTTCA